GAAAATAAGAGATGCTTCAAATGAACAAGAAACTGTCATTTGAAGGTTTTACTGAATGAAATTTGTAATGACTTCCACCTTTTACAACTTCTGAAATAGAAAGATAATAAAGGAAATCACTAAATTGGATGATTGCAACAATGGAATGTCAAATATCACATTACTTAGTAAAATTAGAATATAATTTTAAAGACTTTTTGGGGGTAATTTTTTGTTTTAAAGAGAATAAAACCAAGCAGAATAAAGCCAACCAAAATAAAATAGGATAAGTGATAAGGGACTTCAAAACAAGATAATAGGAAATCAACAATGGTTACCATAATGCTTCTTGTTGTCTTCAAAATAGCTGCCCATAATTTCAGACATAGTAAAAATAAACCAGAATAGAACTAATAAAACCAAAATAATTAATTCAATAAGGACTTCAAGACAAGCCTATAGTAAATCCAAAATAGCTATTATATTATCTTGCTATCTTTTAAATAGCTGCCCATGCCATTGGATATAACAAAATTAAAAAAAACACAAAAGAATAAAACACAACCCAACAAAACAATGAAAATGATACTGGACTTCAAAACAAGATAATAGGGAACCAACAAAGGCCTCCACTCTCAATAGGAGACCCTCCATACACACTACACTGTGTAGTGCTATCCTTTCTACAGATGATCAGACTACTGGAATTAGAACTGCAAAGTTAGTGAAACATTAAACGCTACAAGCATTAAATTGTATTTTACCTCAATAGCTATCATCATAGACTGTGTTTCTCCAGATCAGCTAGACACTTAAGGGGCAGCAGGGAGAGGAGAAACACTGGCTCTTTTTGTCTTCCTGCCCATGCAGTGAAAGGGGCTGGCATCTGGTTCTTCCCACAGTGGCCTACGCATGGTGCCAACTCACAGGAAGGGCCTGGCTTCTTGTTCTCTTCCCCTACAGTCTGTAAATGGTGTCAACTCACAGGAAAAAGCTGGAATCTGGATTCTCCCTCAGTGACCTGCTCAGGGCGCTGACTTACAGGGAGGTCTTGGCTTCTTATTGGCTTATTGTTTTTCTTCCCCACAGTCCAGTTTTAAAGACTTTCTATGAATTTGTATCTTTTTCTATTGCATTGCTTATTTTATTCATTAGTCATATATTGAGAATATTTCCCATTATAAGTTTTCCATTCTGCTATTAGTTGTTATAAAACATCACCTGTTTTATCCTGTTTATGTGATACTGCTATGAAATGCCTTTGTACTGAAGCAGCGATGAAATGGGAAGAAAAAATAATTGAAATGGCATAATTTTAAGATGACATTCCCTTTGAAGAAAGAATTCTCTTTCCTGAAAAGTGGCAGGACCAGTAAACAAGATTAGATCTGTCTTCAAAAACTATTTAATTAGCACTAAAAATAGGATCTATGTCACTTGTATTGAGAATAATTGTTTCTTCTTGTAATTTGTTATTTGATACATTTTTTTTTGATTTATTATTTGGTATATTTCTTTTTTAACTTGTAACCCATTTTGATCTTTGTTAAAACTGGTGTTACAAGCATTAACTGAGCATTATTTCCTTTATCTGCAGTTTTCTTCATGTAAAACTATCCACACTGGTAAAAAATGTTTGTACTTGTAACCAGTGAATTAAGAGCATTGCTTACTTTTTTTGGGGGGAGAGAATACAGTCAAATATGGCAAAACAAAGCTGACAGTCAAAACCAAGGATAGACATAGCACATGAAAAAGTAATAAGAACTAAGGAGTAATAAAATCCAAAATGTGTAAATTTTGTTGTAAAAAAGAGAGGGGAAAAAAAAAGAGCTCTAACGGATATAACAGCAAGTGTGTTTAGGGGTGTTAAATAGCTGACTATATTAATGTTTTTGGATCATTGAACACAGCTGTTTGCAGTCTCGCTGTTTGTCCACTTTGTATTCTTTGATACTGTGATTTGAGCTACTATTTTCAAGATGATAATATGTAATCTATTAACAGGTGATTTCTTACTGTTATGTTTTTTTTTTTTTGTGGTTCTGTATTACGTGTACCCTTACACCGCTTTGTTTTGTTTTGTGTTTTTCTCTTTTTCCTCTTAAATAAAAAAAAGAGCATTGCTTAATTCTGAAAATTTTTGTTATGCTTTTCCCACTCAATGAAAATGATTTCACTGGGATGGTATTTATAATGTGCCAATTAGCATTAAAATTTATTGCAGACAGTTTCAACAGTGAGTTGTAAATACCACCAATTTGCCATGGTCTGTTGCCTAAAAGGCTTAAGGGATTTTTTTAAATCCACATTAGAGAAGTCATGGGAAGAGACTGTGCATTATCTAATCCACTAACCTATAAAACTGTTCACATTTCCATGGAATAGCTATTTTCAAGAAGACGGGAGGAGCAATACATCTAGTTTTATTGAGAAGCCGAAAGTAAACTTCAATTTTGTTCTTTGCAAAGGTTGGTTATTTTTTTCCCCTACTATAAATATTGTTCTGTATGGAAACAGTTTAGAATCATCATTAATATATCTTATTTGCAAGGCTTTTATAGGTAAAGGGATGCAACTAGAAACCGTATTCGTAAGTGAAATAAATCAGCCTTGCATTTTGTAAACACTGTATTGTCTCACTAGTATAAGAAACTTTTTGAAAGAGGAAATAAGACAATAGATATAGTAAAAGGGAAAGAAACTACTCAAAGGGAAATTATATTGTTTAATCAATGTTGCATGCCTATATCTTATAACTTGAGAAACTATTTTGAAGATAACAATGTGCAGCGTAACAACCATTGTTAAACTCCTACCATCTTGGTTTGAAATCTTATATTGCTATTATTTTTTGGTAGTTGTTGTCATTGTTCTGCTTTTATTGCTTTTTGTTTGTTTTCTTCTTGATTTTTCTGCATTTTTTCTTTTTAGAGTAAAAATATATATGCTATCTGGTTATAATTCTGTGGTGTATTATATACTATTCAATGACAAGTTAAGACTAAAATTTAGAAAGTTGGAATTATTTACTCACTTCAATCCACAAATATTGAGTGTCAATTACAAGTCTCAAATTATACTGGATGTTCCTATTTGGTCAAAATGAGGTAAAATTATAACCAATAAAAGTGTTGGTCAATACAGTAATCGAGAGCTATGCAAGTCACTGTGATCATCAAAAAAGTGGACTTAATTATGGCTGAGAAATCCAGGGATGTAACTGGGAGAAAAACAAGGCATTCCTTGTATTTTCCTTTTTCTTTTTAAATCTTTTATTGGTATATGTTCATAGTACATCCAGTTTACAATCATTTTAGGGAGTGGATACGGGTAACGTAATATAGTTTGGTTACTTTTTAAAAGCCCCTATCTCTTCCCTCCTGCCTTCTTCTCTCCCCTTTTAAATTCCCTTTCTCGATTTTAATACTTTTTTGTATTAATTTTATCTCATGTTTATAACGTATAACGTTTACATCTATGTTTATAATGTTTACATTCATTGATGTTATTAGATTCCTGTGCATGGCATATCTTTATTCTACTTCTTTTTTCTTCCCCTCCCATTCATTTCCCACCCACATTCTCTTGGACCCCTTCCTATTTGCAAGGGATCCACCCTCTTGCCTTCTATCCATCTTTTATTGTGCTCTCTGTACTCCACCTTACTCAAAAGAGAATTACAACATGGTAGTTAAGTCTAATTTATTTCACTCAACATAGTATTTTCCAAGTGCACCCATTTCCTCACAAATGTCTCAAATTTATTTTTCTTTTTCAGCTGAGTACTATCCAATTTTGTATAGATAATACTTTTTCTCTAACCAATCTCCTTTTGATGAGTATACGGCTGCTTCCAGGATTTAGCTATTATTGGTTGCCCTGTTAAAACACTGATGTGTGTGTGTCACTAGAGTATCATACCTCTAGCTCTAAGAAAGGCATTTTTGCCATGAAAATTGAATTTTTACTAAGCAGTTTGCATCAAATACAAGCATGGGTCTACACAGTCACTGCAAGTGGCTCAGTAACACTGAAGCATCTTGACCTAAACAGTCACTGTGTAATGTGTTTATCTGCACTTTCTTCTGTAGATTGAGCCCCTGAGATCAAACTTGTGTCATATCTTTCTTTGTGGCTTCAGCAACAAGCACAGTACATGGTCCATAGCTGGAAATCTGTGTTTGTTGAACAAATAGAGGGAGAAAATAAATGAATAGATCTACAGTCTAAATCTTAGATGTACTAAGTGTTGATACTTAATAATTCTAAAAATATTATTTCTAAACATTTCCCAGTAACTTCAGTTAACTTTTATTATGTCGTTAAATAAGAGAGAAAACAACATGAGAAATCAACATGTGGGATTTATTTTCTTTTTATAGGCTTTGCGGAGTGTGATGAACAAGTTATAGTGTCTAGTTTTATGTTCTCTTCTTATAAAATGGCTTCTACCCACTAAACCACTGAAACTCCTCTGTCTTAGATCATAGATGACCACATCCTGGATATATAATGCACCTATGTTAGGCTCTGACTTACTAAATTCAACTTCTGACTTCATTTATGTTGCATCTGCTGTCTAGAATGTCAGCACACACAGAGACAGATACACACACAGACACACAGACACAGACACAGACACACCACCACCACCACCTCCACTTCTCTGGGCCTTATACCTAGCTAACTCCAATTCATTTACCCTTAAATTCTACACCCAGGACTCTGTCTCTAGTAGGTCAAGTATTCCTCTTCTGTGCTGCCTGCCCTTGTTCCTTGGTATAGTATAATATTGAGTTTATCTTATAATCTGGAATTGAGTGATTATGTTTTTCTTCCTGACTACAAACAAAATCAAGGATGATTGGGTTTTGTGCATTTTGGTATCCCTTATATCTATCAGTCTTTCACAGGTAATCAACATATTGGTATTCTCATTGCTAATCACAATAAAAATTAAGGATAGCAAACTCTACATCTTGTGGTAAAGTAATTTTTGTTACATGTGGTGATAGAATTCTCAGTTTCTACCAACCAGCCAAGCACCATGGTCAAAAAGAAGATTGCTGTGATTGGAGCTGGAATTAGTGGCCTTGGTGCCATCAAATGCTGCTTAGATGAAGATTTGGAGCCCACCTGCTTTGAAAGAAATAACGATATTGGAGGACTGTGGCGATTTCAAGTAAGTTTGGATTTTATTTAATTTTAAGCATGCAATTTCTTAAAGTAGTTGTAATGATTTATTTTCTTATTTTATGAAAAAGGTGAAACAGTATTTTGTAACAATATAATAGAAGAATAACAATAAATACATGTTGTTATCTTTAAAGTAGTTGCTCAGGGTACAGGATATGGGCATAAACATTTCTCTAATCAATATTAGCACAAACCTCCTTTTTTAATGAACTAAAAGACAACACTGTCACTGACTTGCACTTTTTCCCTTTTCCCCATTTTCGCTCCCCTACACCCATCCTAGTTTGTTGTAACAATTTGGATAAAGGTTTCTGTACTGCAACGTAGAGCACATCATGTTTAAAGAATTGTTTAACGACCCTAATCTTCTTGCTTGTGTTAATGATTGAGGAAATATGTCAATTTCAATTTAGGCATGAAATTGATGAGATACTACTCAAAATATCATAAATTGCATATGATCCTCAGAAATATCAGAAAAGGATAGTGTTTGAAGATCATTTCAGTTGCTCAGATTAGTTTGTGTCCAAGGTTAAAGAGTTCACAGATTTTGGTAGTAGAGTAGGATCTTCCATTGCTGGACTTTTACCATGCAATTTTATATTCTCTTTGTGGTCACTTCTGCAGGTCTCCCTTTCTCAGCTGCCACAGGGCAATGACTTTTTCACCCCTTTCAGCTCTTGCTTGCAAGAGACCTATTGCCTTAAGAATGTTGAGCTTGGTGCTGAATGTTAAATATGTTCAAACTCCTAGGTCGCTCCATCTTCTTCCAGTGTTTCATTCTACTATACTCTGAAATACCCTTGAAGTCTAGGATTTCTTATTAACATTTTCCAGTTCTGACAATCATAGAGGGCCACTCTACCCACCAGTGTTGGATGGCATTCTACACGTGTGTCGATAGGCCAATATTCTTCTGTTGCTCCTGGCTTTTATCTTAACCCAAATCATGTGTCAACAGCTAGAATGTGAGACCTCTTCACCCTTATGGCATCTGGCCCTGCTGGCAAGATAATTGGCCTAACTTTCCCACAGGGACATCTTCTTGGTGATCCTGGTGGCAACTAGTGCCCAAAGAGCATCCCCATTATCCTCAGACACTCTAACATGGTTTTGTTATCATTCAGCTTTCTCTCTGCAATCTACTGGTTTTGACATTTTATTCTAAGTATTCATTTTGTTTCTTCTTTAATTCAAGAGTTCATTCATTTATTCAACAAATATTTTTGAACACTTCCTATATGCCAGGCATTTTTAAGATGCCAGGGAATAGATTAATAAATTTGAATATAAAAATTCTAGTGTTTAGTGAAGTAATTCTGACACACAAGCTTTAAAACCACATAGCTTCTCTTATATGAAAAACTTCATATATATGTACATATAATATACAATGCTTCATATATGTTATGAAACAAAATACAGATAATAGGAAAAATATGTAAAATTTAAATAAAGGATCATAGAAAATCTCAGTAAGAAGTAGTTTTTTGGGACAAAGAATTGAGAAGTGGCCAGGAATTTAGTTCAGTGATACAAATGCCTGCCTGGCAAGCATGAGGTCTTGAATCAATCCCCAGTAGAAAAAAAGAAAAAAAAAGAATTCAGAAGTAAGAAGGCTGAAAGAGGATCTGGGGTGAGTGGCTCACAAAGATCTTCTCTGATCTTCCTTTCATTAATATGAAACACCTTTTTATTTTTACCATAAAGCATATGGCATTAGTATCAATATTGCTAAACTATCTTTTTGTTAGAACTTGATATGCACATCTTTCATCATGTAACTTAGTTTCCATCTTATTGTGATATTTGTCTTTAGGTTTGTCTTCATGTAAAAGCTAATTTCACTCTTTTGTCTAATGTGAGCTGTGCAGTCATTCATGTAAAAATTATGTTGAATATATTCATTGTGCATAAGCACGCTAATCTTAAATGTACAACTTGATAATTATTGCATATTTATCCATCTGTTCAACCTGATCAAAATGAAGAATATTTCTAGAACTTTATAAGATTCTTGTGTATTGCATAAAGTCAGTACTCGGCCAAACTCAGAGATAACAACTAGTTTCGTTTCTAATGCCTTAAAATGCACTTTTTGTGTTGTTTTGTTTTGATTTAGTGGTACTGGGACTGAACTCACAACCTCACACTTGCCAGGCAGGCGCTGTGCTGCTAAACTGTATTCCTGGACCTCTTTAAAATGCTCTTAATGATACTCGTAATTTTGTATTTATGCCTTTCTTTGTATTGGATCTCTCACTTACCATTTATGTTCTTTTTTATTTTTATTTTTATTTTTTTGGTACCAGGGATCAAACTCACGAGCACGCCCTTGCAAAGCAGGTGCTTAGGCTGCTGAGCTAAATCCCCAGCATCCCCATTTATATTCTTGAGATTCATTTAAATCGGGATTGCAACAATAGTTCCTGTTGTGTTTTCTATTGCTATGTAGTGTTCTGGTATAACAATATGCCACAATTCATTCATTTTCCTGTTTATTATTTTTGGGTTATTTATGCAGTGTGTCTTTGTGTCTGATTTCCTTTATGCACCATTTGTGTATGGCAAATCCACTTACTATATGAGAATAAAAGTAATTCATTTAAAAGCTTATTTCCATGTGGCATGACACTGAATATATGAGTAATTCATTCATTATTTTGTCAATAGACTTTGGATTTGATAATTACTGGTGAAGGTACTATGACATTGTTGCACAGAGGTTTGTTAGATATGTACTTGTTTATCTTGTGTAAAATCCTGGTTCAAAGTACAGGCACAGTGGCTAATGTCAGGCAGTACTCTAACATGAGCATAATGATCTTCACGTGCATCAATAACACGAGAGCATCATACCTTTCCAAGCATTTAGTCCTGCTAGCTCTTCGTTTGGGCTATTCTGAAGGCTAGGTTAGTGGTGTCTCTTGTACCTCGTATATTGCATTTCCCTTGTGAGTATAAATGTTGAACATTCTTTGCTATGCTTGCTGGCAGTTTGGTAATACTCTTCTGTGAAAAACTTGTTCAAGTCTTTTGTCTATTTCTAATCTGATTGTCTATATTTTCTTATGTCATAAAATTTCTCTTACACTGTATATGTGTCTTTCATTGTACACAATTTGTTATGACTATCTCCTTCTACTCTGTGGAATATCATTTTACTACTACAATGTCATCTTTGACAGAGGCTTTTAATTTTATTTTATTTTTTTTATTTAAGAGGAAAAAGAGAAAAACACAAAACAAAACAAAGCGGTGCAAGGGTACACGTAATACAGAACTACAAAAACAAAATAAAACAAAACAAAAACATAACAGTAAGAAATCACCTGTTAGTAGATTACATATTATCATCTTGAAAATAGTTCCTCAAATCACAGTATCAAAGAAACAAGGTGGACATTCAAACAGGTAGACTGCAAACAGCTGTGTTCAATGATCCAAAAACATTGATACAGTCAGCTATTTAACACCCCTAAACACACTTGCTGTTATATCCGTTAGAGCTCTTTTTCTTTTTTTTTTTTTCCTCTCTTTTTTACAACAAAATTCACACACTTTGGATTTCATTACTCCTTAGTGCTTATGACTTTTTTTTGGGGGGGGGAGAATACAGTCAAATATGGCAAAACAAAGCTGTCAGTCAATACCAAGGATAGACATAGCACATGATGTAGAACAGAGTACAAGTTTATCAACAATGGTTATCAACGTTGTCCCTTGTTTCCTTAAAAAGAATTGTCTATCTCATTAGATATTATAAAGTTGGACAAAACAGTAGAGAACAAGACCAATAAAACTTAGGCATTGTAAGCATTACAGGACTTCCAAAGAAGACAATAGTCAAACCAGAATGGGTATCTTAGTGAATCTTATTGTCTTCAAAGTAGTTGCCTATGTCTTCAAACTTGATACTACCATATAGAATGGAACAGAGTCTAATCAGTCAAAACAAGATCGTGGGAGTACTACAGGACTTCAAAACAAGTTAATAGGAAATCAAAAAGAGTTACTATTTATATATCCTAATTTTTTGAATTTTTTCTTTAATTAAGACAAACATAAGAAATGACTAAATAATTTTTTTAAAACAATAAGGGGGAGATTGAGATAAAACAGGACATAACAATATAACAATAGAGGTCACAGCATGACTGTTTCAACAACCTAGTACTTCACCACCATATACCCGACTTAATAGTAGTTACCATAGTGTCTTTTTCCTTGAAATATTTGGATAAAACTTCATATACTCTAGCTTCAAATATTTTCATATCAAGAAGCCCAGAATAAAGCCTTTCTAATTAATGAGTGAAAACTTTATAAGGCTTCAAGGCCACCTAATGGGGAATCATGATTACCACATATTTTTATATATTTGAATCATTACTTACATTAGGGAAACTATTCGGTATTCACACATGCGAGATTGATTTATTTCACTTATGAGTATGGTCTCAAGCTGCGCCCATTTATTGATAAATATCTCAATGTGATCCTTCTTTATAGCTGAATAATACTCCATTGTATAGAAATACCACAACTTTTTTATCCATTCCTCAGTTGATGGACACTTGGGTTGTTTCCAAGATCTGGCGATTACAAATTATGCTACTATAAACATAGGTGCACATATATCACTGTGGTATGATGCTTTCAGTTCTTCTGGGAATATGCCTAGAAGTGGAATAGCTGGAATAAATGGGATTTCCAGTCCCAACTTTTTGAGAAATCTCCAGACAGATCTCCACAAAGGCTGTACCAGTCTACACTCCCACCAGGAGTGCAAGAGAGTTCCTTTTTCCCCACAGCCTCTCCAGCATTTGTTGTTGGTTTTCTTGATCCTGGCCATTCTTTCAGGAATGAGATGGTATCTCAGTGTGGTTTTAATTTGCATTTCTCTAATGACCAATGATGATGAGCATTTTTTCATGTATTTATTTCCCATTTGCATTTCTTCTTCTGAGAATTGCGTATTCATCT